CCGTCATCTCCCCCCAAGCAAAGTGAAAGGTGTTGGTAGTATCCCAAAAATACTCCAACAATGCGCAAACGACAGTCGCACCGCAACCCCGGGGGCTGCGAATCCCTACGACCGCCGAATAAAAATCCACTAAACCAGCCGATTCCCATAAGGCGTTCGTAGCAGGATCCCTCGTGATAATCTGGTGAAGTCGAGGAATCAAATCTCCGGCTCCAGAACCGTGGTGGCGAAGCGTCCCGTCAACTATGCCGGCAAGTGGGCGATGAGAAACATGGTTCTCATGACAGAAAACCAACTGGTCTGGATTCCACGGAGGTGGAACCCACCTACCCCTACCTGTAGAGGCCCGAGGCTCAGACTCTAAGACATCATCGTCCATACCCTCGCGAATCATGGGAGTGTCCTCCCGAAAAGCCTGATGCCGGCCATGGGTGGAAAGATCGCAATCCCGTCGCCTAGGCATGCTATTATAAAAATAAAAATCTAAATGTTTAGCATCATTTCCTAAGACGTTTAGTTTGAGTTGCATTCTAACAAAAATATCTAAATGCTTAGCATCACTTCCTAAGTTATTTAGTTGTTTATCGCATTATACGCTAAATTTTACCTCAAGGCTAAAAATTGGCAAAATAATGGAATTATTTGTAGTATTTAGTTTCTCCATGACGGACTAATACTATGTTCTCCTAATTGCATGATACTATGTTCTCCATGACAATGTAGTACATACACAATACAAAACATGTCTCAAAGTTGCACAAAAACAATAGATTGACGCATCATAGCATATTTTACAAGATCTACAACCAACAGGTCATCAATCCAAGTGCAAAAGAACAACATGAACAACAAGGAGCACCATTTACCACAAGTAGTGCCAAAAATGGTGATTTTGCTCAAATCCTCACCAAATCATGCAATTTTTGTCTCAAATCGCTCACAAACACGCATAGATACATATACAAGTAAATTCATAGCAATAATTTCAACATAAACCACAAAATAAAAAAAATGCCCAAATTGATTTTTAAGGGTTTTTCATGAAATTACTCATTTGAAGCAAATTCGAGGCAAAATCAAGGGAAACTTACATGGATCCTTGTAGAGAATCAAAAATGAGGAAAGTAGCAAAAAATTAGACCATAATTGATGAAGGTTTGAGCTCCAAAAGCTCGAAAAACCACGAAGATCAGAACAGCCGCCGTAACACGGTCAGGCGAGGCTGCGACACGGTGAGCCAAATACGTGTCACAGGGATGAAATCCCGTGTCACGGTAAGCACAGGGGACGCCGGAGCTCCAATTAACAGCAAACAGCAACGCGGCAGTGAGCAGCAAGCAGCAAGCAGTAGCGGAGAATTTTTTTTAAAAAAAAAGGGGAGGCAGAACCGCCGTGACACGGGAGATGATTCCGGCTGACGGGAGCAAACTCTGAGCGCCGGTGAGAAGCCGCTGAGACACAGGAATCCGAGCAAAAAGAAATTTTTTTTTTCTTATTTTTGGGTGAAAACCGGACAAGAAAGAGAAATGGTGGATGAGCAAAATGGGAGAAATGGTTGATATTTAAAGCCAAAAAAAAAAAAAAAAAAACATCCCGTGCAACGGATCCCGTTCCCATGTAACGGTAATATATTGGCGTGCCCCATGTGGTTTGACTGGTCAAAGATGCCAATTGACTGGTTTTCAGCCAACAGAGTTCCCGCGTCACGAGAATCTGCTCCGCGACACGGGAATTGGTCCCGTCTGACTGCAAAACGCTACCGTGTCGCGGGATGCTTCCACGTGGCACGGGGTTCAGAATATTCTTTTGCACATTTTTCGAAGCTAACAGCGAATATTTCTGGTGTTTTTTTACCAAAGCTGCACGATTTTCCGCGCAAACTGGACAGTTAATTTTTCGGTAAAATTACGCGGAAAATTCTAACTGACGGTTGGAGGGTACCAAAATTACTATTTTGCCCCTAGAAGCATTAAAGTCATGTTGTCGATATTTTAAGCACCTAATATGGTCGGATAATCGACTTGAAAAGTGTGAATCATCTGTGGCCCACGTTCGGGGATAATCGAACCATCATACACTTGTAAATTTCAGCGATTACAGTAGTCGTCGGCTTTCCTCGGGCTTGGAAAGCGTTATCGGTGGATTTTTCTTCAAGTATAGAAAACCGCCAAGTCGGCTTTCCTCAAGCATGGAAAGCGTTATCGGTGGATTTTTTTCTTCAAGCATAGAAACCGTCAAGTCGGCTTTCCTCAAGCATGGAAAGCGTTATCGGTGGATTTTCTTCAAGTATAGAAAACCGCCAAGTCGGCTTTCCTCAAGCATGGAAAGCATTATCGGTGGATTTTTCTTCAAGTATAGGACACAGCCAAATTCCTTTATCGGCTTTCCTCAAGTATGGAAGGCGTTATCGGTGGATTTCTTCAAGCATAGAATGACACCAAATTCATACGTCGACTTTCCTCAGGCATGGAAAGTATTATCCGGTACGTTTCTTCAGGCTTAGAAAACTACCAAACTCTTCAGTCGGCTTTCCTCAAGCATGGAAAGCGTTTCAACAAATGTCACCCGGTGGATTCCTTCAAGCATAGGAAGCTGCCAAATTCATTTGTCACCGATACACTGGTGCCAGATACGTGTTCTATCCTTTTACTCTTTTATCTGTGGAATTAACATTTTTCTGAAGGTATCGGCGTATACAGAGTGATTTAGGATCGCAGAACGTCTTAAATCATTCTCCGTCCCTATCGACTACTTTGACTATCGTTTTCGAAACTAACGTTTCTACAAACTCTGTTAAAGTGGGGGTTTCTGTAGACACCTAAAAATGTCTCCCCAGAACCAAACTCGTTGATGAACAACCTTTCACCGCCACTATTGGTCGGATTCAGTATTTAATCCCGAGAGTGCTTAAAAAAATCGTATTTGATTAAATTCATATTTTTGAACAGTCCGTGGATTAGTCTTGATGTTTGGTAAAAGCATAGTTTTAATTTCAGCCCAAATTTATTATTTAATTTTAGCCCAAACCGTTTATTTATTTTATTTAATTATTTTCTTATTTTAGCCCAAATAATAATAAGTCAGAAAAGGCCCGAAATTATCAATCGACACTTAAAATGCCGAATGAAATTAGGGTTAAAAATGTATTTAGACGGAAAAGCGGGCTGGGAATTCCCGCGCCACGGCAGATACCCACCGTGTCACGGGAATAATTCCCGTCTGACGGTGGGATTTCTCGTGACACGGGAAATTCTGTGTCTTTTCCGCGTAAACCCTTAACGCGTTTTCTTCCCCGTTTACTGAAAATTTTCCGCGTCACACTAAAAATGCACCGTGTCACGGGAATGTTTCCCGTCTGACGGTGGGACTTCCCGTGTTACGGTACAGTTTGCCGTGTCGCGGGATACTTTTTTAGGGTTTTTATCATTTTAGGGTTCCGTGTGCTCCCTCAGCACATTTTCTCTATAAATACCCCCTCATTTCTGATGTACGGGGCATCATGTAATTCTCTAGTTAATTTTCTCTCTTCTATGCTTTAGCCTAAACACTAGCCTACCCTTCTTATTTCAAAATTTCTTCTTCAAGTACTCCAAGGAGTCCATACTTTACTCGTGGTTCTGTCCTTAAGCCAAGGCGTGAAAGGTAGAACTGTTTGAGGGTTTGGCCCCAAATCAACTCTAGTTTATTTATTTTAATTTAATTATTATTTTATTATTATTTCCTTGAAGTTACTAACTCGTTTATTATTTTGTAGTTGCAAACAAACAGAATCAAAGTAAGAATTATGTTCCTTTTATTTCTATTATTATTCTAACGATTTTATATTGTTGGAATTATGGCTAAATTGCTTCCAATATTAATATTTATTCTATTATTGTTATGATCACCATATTGCATGTTTAAAGGGAATATGTAATTGAAAATCACGCCTAATAAGATAATTTGGACAACCGGTTTAGGTTCCTTTTTAATCTTGTTATTTAATCAAGTGATCACTAATATTTTAGAATTATATGTTGCATTAATATTCAACCAATTTAGCCTAATAATAGTTTGGAGCGAATTGAATATTTTATTTGTATGCCTTTGAGATCGCAGGAATCACTTTTCACTATAAGAATTGAGAAGAGGTCAATACGGGCGAATGTGACTCCATGACTCACTTCGTACCATCATCCCCGATCCTCATTTCGTGGTTCCGAAGCATATGGAGTTAGTAATCTCATATATTATGAATGGGGTGTAACCTTCACGGGTCAATCGTTGTTGCCTATCGTTGTCCCTTATCGTGGTTGCCTTTTTATGATCTGTGAACGGTTTACAAGTTCCTTAAAAACTTGTTGGCGGCTCCCTACTTTCCTTGTCCCTAATCGTATATGTCAATTCCCACTTCCTATGAGTGTCAAGCATATTCACACATGCTTTTAACGTAGGCGCACTTCGAGCGACACCTACAGGAGTGCAACATCCTAAGGCTATTGAAGCATATTGAAGTTGATTGTCACTTCGTCCGAGATGCTATTTCAGAAGGGTTGATTGATCCATCCTATGTTCCTACACGTGAACAACTAGCCGACATCTTTACCAAGGCTCTCGGCAAGGCTCAATTTGATTTATATATTGCTTGGCAAGTTGGGCATCTTCACTCCACCTGCTCCAACTTGAGGGGGGTTTTAGGAATATATTTAGGAAATCTTATCATATATTTGTGATTATTATCATATACTTAGTTTCCTAGTTTATAGGCTTAAGATATATATTGAAGATATTAATTTGTTATGCTTAGGAAGCTATGTACTCTATATATTTGAGGATCAATCAATGAACAAGGGTAAGCTTTCAGCCCTACTTTGACAAAAACATATCTAGAACTATTCTGAACATTTCAGTACTATGACATTAACTGATGAATCTAGAAATAAGCTACTGACATGCCAAGAAATAACCGAATTCTGAAGCAACTATACTCTTTCTTCCTGTATGTTGCCACTTCCCTCATCTTAATCACTCCCATAAGACGTTTCACCTTCCCGCCCTGCGAGTGTTTCTGCCATCAGTGGGGCATTTTCAGAAGCAGCAGCTGTGTTACTGTCGTCGACATCACCCTCAGGCTCTGCAGCTGCACTAGTGATGGTAGCAGGCTGCAGTTGAATTGTAGGCAAGGGCCAGGGAAATAGTACTGATGTACTGCCAGAAGGCGCAGTACTCGGTGCAAGAAACGGGTGTTTCAGGAGTTGAGTTATTGTAGTTCCGACATCTCAGGAAACACACACCTGAATGAAGCTCTTAATCCCTTGGTCTTGTAATTTTTTTAACAGCCTAAAATCCATTTTTCGCGATGTGCTGTCTGCAGCATCCTTATTCACCATCTGTAGCGCACACAACCCAACACAGTACATCTCAGACCGCTCTATCCTTCGAGTAATAACAGCATTATACTCAGGACTATCAACAGTCGTTGCGACACTCAAATCTCCTAGCTTAATCTTGCCTGAGTTTCCAACAACAAAGATGTTTTCGCGCTTTAAATCATCGTGAATAATCGGTTCATCTTGACTGTGAAGAAAATGAAGCCCTGACAGAATCTGTTGACAGCAATTCTTGATTGCTGGACTGTTTTCTTTAACCTGATGTTTCTGAGTGTAATCCTTCAAATTCCCAGAATAAAGCTCAGTAATCATGTTAAACTCAACTTTGTTTTCTAATCCAAAAGGCCAATAATGGTAGCATTTGATTACATTTTCATGATCAAATCTCTTTAAAGACCTAGCTTCTCTCAGCAAATAAACAAGATTATTAAGTAATACAAATTTCTTACACCAAGCAACTTCTCTGCCATTAGTCTCATCATATCCCAAATAAACTTTAGATCGCCTTCATCAATCAGCTTACTGTACCTTGTGTATTGCCCTGTCGGATCTGTCTCCTCAACCGTCTAATCGCCGTCTCCTCTGCTTGAACTCGAACCCGCCATTACTAGTAAAGAATAACAGCAAAACACAGAACTAAAGAAAGATTTGCAATGGAATCAAGCTAATGAAGTTGATTTCTATGGATTAATGGAATTTTTGTTGGGTTATTAGGAGAAAAAACAGAATGTTTGAAATAATGGGTTGATGATGAAATGAATTAGAAATTTAGAATGGTATTTATAATGGCAAGTGTTTAAGTTATTACTTATATCCAAACCGATTTTATCCAGTTGTAGTTAGTTAAGTCAGTTATCAAGATTAAGAATTAGAAAGTGCCCTTTCTTAATTTTTTTAATTAAAAAAAAAAAACTTTAATTTGCCCTCTGTTCAATAATATTTTATTTTTTAAATTTTATTTAAGAGATATTTCTTATCCCTACCCTATAAAAAGTACAAAAGAACTAATGAATAGTGCGATTACTTTTTTACCCATAAAAATGTTTATTTATCTGTATACCCTTTTATAAAAATGTTTATTTACCCATATACCCTTTTATGTCATATTAACTGTTATGCTTCCATATTTATTTCTCTAGTCTTCCTTCCCTTCCAACTTCCAACCTTTTTCTCTCTTTTAAACCCCCCTTTCTCTCTTCTTCCTCCTTTACTTCCCTAATCTCTTTCTCTCCTCCATTAAAGCGAAGGAGCCCTCCATTAAAGCACCTACCGAGCTAAGCCACATGAAGAAGAGGAAGAGGAAAAGGAGGAGGAGGAGGAGAAAATAGTTGAATTTAATGGCAAAACTATTTAACGTGAAAATAATCATCTTCAAAGGGTGGGGGAATAGTCTGGATATAACCCACTTTGTTACTATTTTTTTTAAAATAAACAAATAAACACACACACACACACAAACCCACTGAATTTAATTACCTAATCATCTAATTAGAATTTTTTTGGAAAAATTGTCAAAAATAAAATGACCTTTCAGCCGTCTTCTAAAAATAAAACCACCTTTTAATTATCCTGTAATAAAACGACCTTTGATAGCCATCTGCCAAAAATAGAATGGTACCGGCTGATAACCTATTGAACAGGTTGATGAGACACGTGTAGCAATACGATAGGTTGGTTTTTTTTTTTTACAATTTATTTCTTATTTTTAAAAAATGATTTTAATAAAAAAAAAATACAACCCTGCCATGAAACCGGCCTTTCCACGGTCAGTGAACTCAACCCCAATCCTTGCCATCGCGAACCCAACTCAGTCCCAACCCCCACCCCTGACGTCGTCGACAAAAATCCTGTACCACCCTTGCGTATATTGGCGAACCGCACTCCAACCTCCATCCATTTTTGTGTGGAATTTAACGATTGGGGGTTTAGGTTGGTTAGTGGGTTGGTTTAGGGTAGTTTTGAGGCAGTTTCAAGGAGGTTGGGTGGTTAAGAGGTGGCTATAAGGTCGGTTTTGGGGTGTGTGGAATGGGTAAGGGGGTTTTAAGGGCGTGGTTATGGTTTCGGGGGTGGCTGCGGGATGGTTTCAAGGGTGGCTGCGGGATGGTTTCGTGGGTGTGGGGTGGGTTTTAGGGTGGTTACAAGATGGGGTTTTGGAGTTGTGAATGGTTGAGTGGTGGCTGGGAGGAAGGGGAGGGGCTACAAAGGTGGTTAAGGGGTTGGAAGGTTCAAAGGGGGATAGGCTTTTGGTGACTTGTGGGCGGTGGCTTACTGTTAGGGGGAGGGGTAGGAGATTTTTTTTTATTTTTTTTATTTTACTTTTATGAATTGTATTTTTTTTTAATTAAAAATGAATTCTTTTAAAAGAAAATTGAAAAAAATGATCGTAGCCAATCGCATTATGACACTTGTCCGGGTTTAACCTTTTAAACAGGTTTCTGGTTTTTTGTTCTATTTTGAGCAGATGCATGTCAAAGGTCATTTTATTATGGAATAATCAAAAGGTCGTTTTATTTTTGGAAGATCGCCCAAAGGTCGTTTTATTTTTGACAATTTTTCCAAATTTTTTTAAAAGTTTTTCTGTTAAATTTTTAGTTGTAACATTTTAACCTTCACGCTTGTCAATACATAATTTCAATCTCTTGTATCTCTAATTATAGACATATAAATAATCTAAAGATTAAATATTTAAAACATATATATAAATCGAAATGAATCTAATAAAATCATACATGACTATTTTGCCTAACAAAAAAAGTCAATAAAATAAAGATCAATTATTAAAAAAAAATAAAAAATGAAAAATGTATATATTTTAAAGTGTTGCAACTAAAAGTGGCGTAGACTCCCCTAGTATTTTTTAAAAGTGAATAGTAACTGCTACTACTAGTCTACTAGTAACAAAAGTCGTTTTTTCGGGCCGGTGAACATTTATACTACGTATTACGAATATTATTATTATTATTATTGTTGTTGTTGTTGTTGTTTAATCAGAATCCTTAGTGAGAAAGCTAATTTTCCTTTGTCATCATTAATCACCTTTTCTACTTCCCTTCCAGACGACTGCAGTACTGATCTTAGCCTCTGATCACTCGAACCAGGAGGCGGGAATTCCACAATACTAGTTAGCCTCAAATTTGGAATACTGCATCCTGTTAAATACTCAGTTCAAGAAACGGATCATTCAACAGTTCAATCGCGGTAGGTCTGACATTACACCTCCTATACACTTCTGAATATCTCCTTAGAGCAAACACAATGGTTGCCCACAACTATTGTGGTTATTGCTTATTTTAATAATTTCTATATCTTCCACCTCATCTATAACCACTCTTATACCCATTTAATAACCAATGCCTCCCAATAGTTAACCACAACTTTAGCACTATTCGAAAATTGTTGAAAATTTGTATCTAAATCTGAGTTGAGATCAATTGGAATGTTAGAATAGTAAGGTTGAAGATTTGGATTATTTTGGGGTTGTGATGAGTTCTGAGATTTTGTGGGTTTTTTTTTTTTATTAGATTTTGGAATATTCATCTCTACACAATTTGATAATAAAGAGAGTAATATTCACTAAAAAAAATGTTTCAAAATACCTCAATATTGGGCTTAATTTATAGAGATAAATAAAATAGAGCCGTTGTTTTTTTTTTTTAGAATTGTATTTTAAAAATTATGGCCGTTACAAAATTACAACGGTAATAAAATCAAAGCAAATCTCAACCATTGATTAAATGAATAGGTGTCACAATCTCTAGAAGCCTTGTCATTATGTGTCACTATAAAAAACAATAAAATATTCCATGACCAAGCTACAATAACCGGTTATTCTACTAACCAGGTTATTGAAAATTTCCCCCAAAAATTTCTCTCTCTTCATTATTTTATTATTATTCCACTTTCTCTCTCTTAATAATCAACCTCAATAACCAATGGCTGGGTATACTCTTAAGGGGTGTTTGGTATGAAAATTTGTAACATAGGAAATATAAACAAATAAGTGTTTCCATTTCTATTAGTTTGGTATGAGTTATGAGTAACAAATACCGTTTCCAAAGGGTAACAAAATCCCCCAAATTGTTACCCTTATCCTACTAGTGGAAACAAAATGTGTTTCCCTCCTCAATCATAAACTCCTCAATTTGTTTTCATTTTATAAAGATACCAAACATATATCAAAGGTAACGTGTATCATTACCCTTTCCCTTATATAAATCATTTCAATTCCGTTTACGGAATTTATACCAAACGCCCCCTTAAAGTTCTTGGTCCATCACTCTCTGCAGCTTATCACACGAGTCCCTCCATCTCCTCTGTACAACATCCTTTTACACCATCTGTAGTACACACGTCCCAAACTCGTAAATCTCAGACCGCGCATTTGCAACAGCATCAGCATCAGCATTACTGCTGTCAGTACTACTACCCGGTTCAAAAACCATCGCGCTACATAAATCACTAAGCTTAATTACACCCGAATTTCCAATAACAAAGAAGTTTTCCAAGCAAAGACTACGAATATAAATGGGTGGAATAAGACCGTGAAGATAAATCAACACCCCAAGAACATGCCTACACCAATTTTTAATTGGAGTAGTATCTTCAAATCTTCCAATCCAATGTTTCTTGGAATAATCTCAAATTCCCACAATAAATTTCAGTAATCATGTTAATGTGATGAACCGAGTCAACGACACAAGTCAACCTATGATGGTTTATTCGAGGCGCAAGAAGGGTGATCAAGCAGCAACATAGGGAAGCAACATTACTTTGCAACAAGCTAAGACAAAGTTAATTAAAAGGAAGAGAAGGAAAGCAAGCAAGCTAGTTCTTTTATGTCTTAGAATGGTTTTTCCATTTTAGCTAAGTATCACATGTATTAGCTTTCAAGGTCATGTTGACCATTAGCAATCTCTAGTATAAGTTAGTAGTGATAGCAATTTGAAGGATTATCCAGAAAATTGTGAGAGAATTCTTGAGAGACTTGTGGCCTCAAGCTACTAGAGAGATTAATAGCCTCAAGCTATACTACCATCCTTAGTTTGTAATTCTCAATTAACCAGTAATTAATCTTCAAGCTTTCCCTTCCATAGATAGAGTAATTTCATTATATTGCCTTGAGTTAATTCAGGTACACCACAGTTGGTATCAGAGCGGTGGTCCTGTGACCGCCGGTACCGGAAACCACCAGCAACAAAAAAAAACAAAAAATCCGCCATGGAAACAGACGTTCCCCCAAAGACTCACCGCCATAGAAGAGACACTCACAGCCATTCAAGAGAAGTTACAACCACAGGACGACAACCTCACTCGTGCGGTGGCGGCAGCCATTAAAGCAGCAATGGAGGAGGAGCGGAAGGAAATTGCGAAGGAACGAAAAACGACTGAGGAGGTAGTAGCAGCCACCGTCAATCGATTGGAGGCACGTCTTGACACCTTCCGAATCACGGTGGATATGCAAGGTGCCGCCGATCGAGCAAAAATTGCCAAAATTCAAGAAGAATTGGAGAAGGCAAAAGGGAATCAGCAACAACAACCGGTGACTCATCCACACGAACAGCCGGTGGTTGGGGAGAACACTTCCCAGCCGGAGTTAGAGAGAATACGCACTCCTTCCGGGGAGAAGACGTTTGACGAACCGGGATGGCACCCACCTGATATTGGGTGGCGCGGCGGTGGCGGGGGAAGCATCGGCGGAGGACAGTGGAAGCACCGCAAGCTCGAGATGCCCGTTTTCGAGGGGGCGACCCGGATAATTGGACCGCACGTGTGGAGATGTTCTTTTAGTTTTATCGATTTTCGGAGAGGGAAAAGATGGAAGCCACGGTGGTGGCTATGGATGGAGCGGCTCTCAAATGGTTTCAAGGGGAGCAAAAACGGCGTCCGTTCTACGGGTGGCCGGATCTCAAGCAAAGGGTCCTCAACGAGTTCCGAACGGCCCACGCCGGTACTTTACATGAGCAGTGGTTGGCGGTTGAGCAGGTGGGAACGGTGGCCTAGTATCGCCAGCGTTACATTGAAATGGCGGCGCCGCTAGAGGATATCCCTGAAAGTCTGATGCTTGGTCAGTTTATCAATGGCCTCAAGGATGAAATTAAAGCTGAGTTACGTCTCCTCAACCCAGCTGATTTAGAACGAGCCATGGAGATGGCAAGCCGAATTGAGGAGAAGAATGGGGCCCAACAAAGGAAGAAGCCCGTGGTAAATTGGAAGGGAGGCCCCATTGGTGGGTCTACTTCCTCACATCTCACCCAGCAAAGTCAACTAGCCAACAAGGGAGGGCTCATTTCGACATATGGGCTGCCAAGTTCAAGTGGGCCGCCAAAAGCGTGGCCCAAAGCTCCAGAAGAATCGCAAGGTTCAGTCAACATGGGCCGGTCCAACCCCGGACCAGGCCGGAGTGCCACCGGAGGTGCTCGGAGATTGACCGAGTTCGAATTACAAGAAAGAAGGGCAAAAGGGTTATGCTTCCGGTGTGACGAGAGGTGGGGTGTGGGACATCGGTGCAAGCGGAAGGAGCTTAGTGTTCTTTTGGTGGCGGAAGGTGAAGAGGAGATAGAGCCGGAGGAGCCGGAGGATTCTTCGGCCGAGGACTTAAGTGGTGTCTCTCTATGTTCCGTGATTGGGATTCATAACCCAAAAACGATGAAGCTACGGGGGGTAATTAAGGGTCAAGAGGTGGTGGTAATGATAGATCCCGGAGCAACTCATAATTTTTTAGCTCTATCGGTGGTGGAACAAGCGGCCATTAAGGTGGATCAAGGGGGAGAGTTTGCGGTTGCCTTGGGCAACGGGGACACGGTCCGTGGGAGTGGGGTGTGTAAGGAAGTCAAGGTGGAGTTGAGTGGTGGGATAACCATCACGGAGGACTTCCTACCACTATCTTTAGGTAGTGCCGAGGTCATACTTGGGATACAATGGCTTGCTAAGTTGGGTTCAGTGGTAACTAATTAGCGAACCCATGTCATGAAATTCTCGATCGCCGGAGTTCCGGTCACCTTGACCGGCGATCCCATCCTTGAGAAAACTCAAGTCACGTTGAAGGCCATGATGAGAGTAATCAAGAAAGAGAAGCAGGGCTTGTTAGTAGAGTTAAACAAGATTGAGCCCACTGAATTGGGCCCAAAATCAGCAGGCCCACCCTCCTTCTTAGTGGGCATTTTGAATCAGTTTCATGAAGTGTTCAATATACCTAGTGGCGTACCTCCAAATAGAGGCCATGAGCACTCTATTACACTCAAGGATGGAACCGATCCAATTAGTGTTCGTCCATATAGGTACCCGCAAGTGCAAAAGGACGAAATCGAGAAGCTCATTCACGAGATGTTGGAAGTCGGCATCATCAAACCATCCTCAAGCCCTTTCTCGAGCCCGGTTTTGCTCGTGAAGAAAAAAGATGGCTCGTGGAGGTTTTGTGTAGACTACCAGGCCTTGAATAAGGAGACGGTCCCCGATAAGTATCCTATCCCCGTTATCGATGAGCTACTTGATGAGCTCCATGGTGCAACCGTGTTTTCTAAACTCGATTTAAAATCGGGTTACCATCAAATTCGTGTGAAGCCGGAAGATACCCATAAAACGGCTTTCCGGACCCATGAGGGTCATTACGAGTTCTTAGTGATGCCGTTTGGGCTTACTAACGCCCCGACTACTTTTCAATCACTTATGAACGATGTTTTCACTAGTACAGGAAAGGGATATTGCGACACTAAGAAATGGGCTTCTGCGACGCAAAAAAGCGCTGCTAGACCCTTTACCGACGCCACGAAAACTGTCGTTTAAGCCGGTGCCGCAAGACCCTATAGCGACACTATTTAATAACGTCGGTATAGTGTTTAAAAAAGCGTCGCGACCTTGACGTGCTTTTTGGCATCTTATAGAGGCACTTGTAAGCGTCGCCAATTCCTTGGAACCCGCATAGTACACAGCCTACCAAGGCACTTGTAAGCGCCGCCATAGCTTGTAAGGGAGTGCTTTTCTATACTTTTGGCGTCACTTTTAAGCGTCGGCATTATTTATGTAACGCACTTACCTATAGCCTATAAAGGCACTTTTAAGCGTCGTAAGAGGTAAACTACCACACTATCGTGCAATATGTAAAGGCACTTTTTAACATCGCAAGATGTACAATGGTGCGGTTCTGTAATAGCATCTATAATAACATTTAGAGCGTTACTAAATAACCTGTTTTTTACATGATAAAATTGTAAACACCAAAAATTTTATTAAAAATAAAAATTATAGTCATAAATGTCATCAAACAAAAGACATTGAAATAAAGTACCTAAAATCATTTAAACAAATAACCATCTAAAGTCCTATATATATATATATATATATAATAAAAAAAATAAAAAAACGTTCAGTAGCTAGAATGTACTTAATGCCAAAACCAAATCTATGCCAATATAAGATATATTTTATAAGACTAAATATTGATGCTTTAAAATTGCTTTCATGTTCCAACTTTGAAGTTGCCAAAGCATACCCTGCATGAGTGAAAACAAATAGTCAACTACTATATCAAAAATTATTATATGATGAATAAAAAATTAAAAAAAAAATGTTAGACATTTAATAACCAATCTAACCTTGGTAACGCAATAACTAATCTCTACGATTAGTGTCATTGTTAGCTCTGGGAGAAGCTTCAACATCCTACAAAAATAACAAAGGAGAAAAGTTATCAACTCCATATCATCAAGTTAAAAGGCGCAAATGTACCAATGACCAATCAATAATAAGAAATCAAACCTGGAAAATTACTACATACATATTACTAACATTCCCAACATTAAACACTCAAAGATGAAAGAGACATTCCCAACATTAAACAAAGTATTAATTAATAGTTCCTACATTACTAACATTATCGTCAATGTAATATGCAAAAGTGTTAATTTAGAATTTCGCAAACGACAATGTTCAACCAATTTCACTTAAAAGTACTGAAAAAAAATTGTAACCAGATTAGTACGATCCTTAATTAAGTTTTCCAAGTTCACACAACATATTTCTTTTATATGATTCTAGTAAGTAATCATACCAAAGAAAAATAAGCAACTTATGTAACTAGGAGACGGAAAATGAACAACACTGGAAAATGAAATGTTTATGAGTTTAATTTATTAGGCGAAAAGGAAAAAGGCAATCACGATATAACATATAGTAGATATAATTTTCAAATAATCTAATAACTTTAAGTAGCTTAAATGAATTAAATTAAGAAGATATTTTAGCCTAATGTAGACTTCTTTCTTTGGTTTTTAATACGTTCTTTTGGGTTGAGGATGTCTTATACACTACCAACAATTTGAATTTTTATAATTACAAATTAAAATTCATCCCCCCACCCCCAAATATCGAGAATGCAGTGCTTTACTAGTCTTATTGCAGCTTTAGAAAATAAATTTGATCCCTTGACACCTATAAGCACTAACCTTTAAGATTCTTGTCCTATATCATACCATGTGAAACACCAGATTGTAATATATATATATATATATATATATATATATATATATATATATACCCTAGTCTAGGATTACAGAAATATCACTTGAGATTAAAATACAAGTTTTTCTCCAAAAGGCTTGGCTCATGTTCTTATTATATCAGAAGCCGATGTGATTTTTGACCCAAAAAAAATAAAGGAGAACAGCAAGTCAAAGAAAAGAATTAGAGCAGCAACTTTTTACTTACAAATATATCATGTCAAGAATTCATGCCCACATACATGAACACTAGCCTTCTCTAAAGCTATATATCATAAATCCATTTACTTCCTATATTTCTAGGCTCTTCCCTAATCAACAATCTATTCCATGTAATCTTTTTTCTTACCCTTTTATTCTTTGCATCTAGTTTTGTTGGATTATTTCCAATAACATATCTTATATAGTTGTGTATAGGCAATTAGGATACCAACCAATATTATATAACCAAATGACACATAATTAAAATAGGCTAGAGGATAGGCTAGAAGATACATATTACAAACTCCACAAATCCAATCGTAAAAAAATGCCCACAGACTCTATAGTCAAGTTAACTACTCTACATTTTTCTTTTTTTTTTTTTTTTTTTGTGGGGGGGGGGGGGGGTGTGAAATGAAGTACAGTGTAGTTACTAATGCATTAAACATGTAGTAAGCCTATAAATTGCAAAGTAAAGGACTCTTAATACAATCTGTCTCATGTTTGAGGTGGATGAAAACTAACATACTATGATAGAAACAATATGTCTAATGGCTTAAAGGTGTCAAACAACCAAGTTTAATTTCATTGACATGATGTTTTGAGAATCTAATCATACTGGTTTAATTCATATTCAATTTGATTGAGATATATCATTGGACCTTATTAATTTCATTACTTATACAGAATTATGAGACATGAGTAATCAGGGTATATACTAAAGATTGAATTAAACACTCAAGAATACATAATTACAAAATTGATAGCCAAAGAAATTAAACACAGCACATGATAAGCAACATGAAACATTAAACACTTCTATTGATGAAAAATTGCTGAGAAAATATGCATTACATAGACGAAATTACATCTAAATAAACATGCAATAAACATACCTGAAAGTAGCCTCTTTTCTGGATCTCTTTCTTTTCGACAAGAATTTTTTTGAGAATATTGAAATTAAATCTGCAATTATAGCCGAAATTGATGGGCAAAACTGAGCTTAATTCAGCAAATTGCAATTGGAATTGGCGAAATAAACATATAAAGATTAGAAATTGACAAAACCCGGCAAAAAATCAGCAAATCGTGTAAATTAATTTGCAAAACAGAGAATTTAAGTAAATTAAAAGGGGAAATTCAATAGAAAAACAAAAAATTACGAGAAAAACTTTACCTTAGAATGAGAATTTTGAATTTGTATGGGTCGATTAAAATTCTCAAACAAAATTGACGAATTGGGCAAATTAAAAGGGAAAATTCAGCAAAAAGAAAACGAATTAAATGTTTATGGTTCGTCAAGTAAAAATTTGAGGATGATATTCAGAGAGATTAGGGAGATTGATGAGCGCACAATTGGGGCAATTTCATATTTTCAGTAGTGATAGGTTAGGGATTTGCAGAAGTATAGTGGGAGTCGTGGGAGTTTTGAAATATTTCACAAAATAAAAAAAACTAAGTGGCACGGTTTTTTTGGCTGTAACAACGCTATATTGCAGTGCTTTTTAATAAGCGCTCTAATTTTACACGGAAAGTGCATATTTCAGCACTGTTAACATGTTGCGCGGCTACCAATGCGCCTTAATAAACTGTTTTTGTAGTAGTGTTTCCGGCCTTATTTAAGGAGATTTGTGCTAGTTTTCTTCGATGATATATTGGTGTATAGCAAGACAACGGAAGAGCATCAAGATCACTTAAAATTGGTTCTACAAAAGTTGCAGGAACATCGACTCTACGCCAATTTTAAGAAGTGCGAATTCGGTAAATTAGAAATTGCATATTTTGGGCACATTATTTCGGCAGAAGGAGTCTCAATGGATGAGGAGAAAATTAAGTCCGTTCTTGAGTGGGAAATCCCGCGCAACTTGAAGGAATTAAGAGGATTTCTCGGGTTAACCGGGTATTACCGAAAGTTCATTGCACACTACGCTCAGATTGCAGGCCCTCTTACCTCGCAACTTAAAAAAGAGAGTTTTGGGTGGTCGGAGGCGGCAACAGAGGCTTTTCAGAAATTGAAAACCGCCATGACCACTGCCCCAGTTCTAGCTGTTTCGAATTTCAAGGAAGGGTTCGTGGTGGAGACGGATGCCTCAGGGTTCGATTTAGGGGCGGTGATGATGCAGAATGGGCGGCCCATTGCCTTTTACAGTAAGCTTCTTGGGGTGAGGGCCCGCGGGAAATCAATCTATGAGAAAGAACTAATGGCTATTTCTCTAGCGGTGTCGAAGTGGCGGCATTACTTGTTGGGTCGGTCGTTCGTTATTCGCACGGATCAACAAAGCCTTAAATTTCTAGCTGAGCAGCGTGAAGTGAGTGGCGAGTATCAACGTTGGTTAAGGAAGCTCGTGGGGTTCGATTTCACAATCCAATATAAGCTGGGCACCGCCAATAGGGTGGCTGATGCTCTCTCTCGGAGGGACGAAGGGGTGTTGGGAATGCCTGAGAAAATGCCAGAGAAAAATGTCGAGAGAAGGAAGAAGGAAGAGTTACTGCCTGGAGAAAAAGTCGAGAAGAAGAAGGAAAGAAGTTTGATTGTGTTTGGGGCTTTAGTCCACTCACAATATGTGGACTGGGCTGAGTTGGAGAGGGAGCTTAAAGAAGACAAATGGTTGGGTCAGATAGTTGTGGGCCTCAAGGAGGGAAAGGAGGGGCCCAAGGGCTTTCATTTGGAAGGAGATAGGGTCCTCTATAAGGATCGAATTGTTTTATCTAACTCATCCAAATTTGTTGAATTGCTTTTGCAGGAATATCACAGTTCACCCGTCGGAGGCCATGACGGAGAAATCAAAACCTATCTCCGCCTCGGCGCCGATTGGTTCTGGCCGGGGATGCGAAAAGCCGTTGGAAAGTTTGTGCGAGAATGTGAAGTCTGTCAGCGAAATAAGGCAGTGTGTAGAAATCCGTTGGGGCTACTTCAACCACTCCCAATTCCCGAAGCAATTTGGGAAGATATCTCAATGGATTTCGTGGAGGGGCTGCCGCCTTCTCGAGGGGTCGACACCGTGCTAGTGGTGGTCGATCGGCTCTCCAAATACAGCCACTTCATCGGACTCAAGCACCCCTTTAATGCACTCAAGGTAGCCGATGCTGTTGTCAAGGAGGTCGTTCGTCTTCATGGGTTTCCGGCGTCAATTGTGTCCGATAGAGATCGTGTTTTATGAGCACGTTATGGAAGGAATTATTCATATTGCAAGGTACAAGTCTCAACCGTAGTACGGCTTACCATCCTCAATCGGATGGACAAACGGAGATCGTGAACAAGAGTCTCGAAACGTATCTTCGTTGCTTCATTGCCAAGCAACCCAAGCAATGGGCTCGTTGGCTGCCGTGGGCGGAGTACTCATACAACACATCCCCTCACACCTCATCCAAGATGACTCCGTTCAAGATCGTATATGGGCGGGATCCTCCTAAGTTGTGGCGCTTAGGAGCAGGACAGACTATGGTTAGTTCGCTAGAAGAGAGCTTGCGGGAAAGAGATAACATCCTAGAGGAATTGCGAGTTAATTTAAATCGGACCCAGAAGATTATGAAGATTAATGCGGATAAGCACAGGCAAGCAGAGGACTTTGCAATTGGGGATAAAGTATTTTTGAAGTTGCAACCTTATAGGAAGAGGTCACTAGCCAAGAGACCTTATGAGAAGTTAGCAGCTAGGTTCTATGGGCCTTTCACAGTGTTAGAGCGGATTGGGAGGGTCGCGTACAAGCTGCTACTACCACCGGAATGCAAATTGCACCCTGTTTTTCACATTTCCCAACTAAAAAGTGCGCTCAATAGCCTACCCTGCAATCCCACAATCCCTCAGCAACTCTCGGCAGACTTGGAATTAGTGGTAGAACCTGAAGAATTGCTCGAAATCAGGCGAAGGAAACGCGGTTCTGCTTCTGTCTTGGAGGTACTCCTTACTTGGAAAGGGCTCCCACACTTTGAGGCCACGTGGGAGGACTATGATGCTGTTAATTTGCGATTCCCCGCCTTCCACCTTGAGGACAAGGTGAAACTCAAAGGGGGGAGTGATGTGATGAACCGAGTCAACGAAACAAGCCAACCTATGATGGTTTATTCGAGGCGCAAGAAGGGTGATCAAGCAGCAGCATAGGGAAGCAACATTACTTTGCAACAAGCTAAGACAAAGTTAATTAAAAGGAAGAGAAGGAAAGCAAGCAAGCTAGTTCTTTTATGTCTTAGAATGGTTTTTCCATTTTAGCTAAGTATCACATGTATAGTTTTCAAGGTCATGTTGACCATTAGCAATCTCTAGTATAAGTTAGTAGTGATAGCAATTTGAAGGATTATCCAGAAAATTGTGAGAAAATTCTTGAGAGACTTGTGGCCTCAAGCTACTAGAGAGATTAATAGCCTCAAGCTATACTACCATCCTTAGTTTGTAATTCTCAATTAATCAGTAATTAATCTTCAAGCTTTCCCTTCCATAGATAGAGTAATTTCATTATATTGCCTTGAGTTAATTCGGGTACACCACAGTTAAGCGTTACTATTTCATTCTTAAAATCGACCCAACAATCGTAACACTTCATTATATTATCATGGTCTAACTTATGTAACAACTTAGCTTCTTTGTATAATATCTCGTGATTTTCAGTAGTTAACACTGTCTTACTCCAAGCAATATCTCTGCCAGTAACTCCATCAAATCCCTTAGAGCATCCCCATCAATGAGCATTTTTTTGCTCATGAGCAAAAATGGTGAGCAAAAATGGTAGAAGATGTTCCCCATCAATGAGCATATTGAAAAATGCTCATGAGCAAAATGAAAATTGCTCATAGGATGAGCATTTTTTAAGATGAATAGTAATCATGTGGGGTCCACAATACAAGTAAAAAAAAGAATTAAAAATAATATAGTAGAGAGAAATATAAAAGGGTATTAGTAAAAGTAAGAGAGAAGATGTATTAGAGAGAGAATGGGGAAGAATTTTTTTTTTATCATTGGTGGGATAAAAATATAATCACAAAAATGCTCATGGGTTGAAAGAGAGAAAGTGGGTAGAGAGAGAATGAGGAAACCAATTTTTGCTCATTGGTGGGAATGCTCTTATAGACTACTTTCGAGCTGCTCGGTTCTTTGATGAATTGGTTTCCTACTGATGGCTTCTTTAGCCTTAGTACCGGTTGTACAATGATAATGTCATCGTACCTTGCGGATTGACGTGTCAGGTTTCTCTCTACGATCTTAAGCTCGTCTGCCTGTGAACTCGAAGCCGCCATTAATGGAATAAGGTTGATTTTTATAGATGAAACATTTGTTAGTTATGAAGTAAAAACAGAATATTTGATAAAATGATTTATTGCAGTAATGTAGATAGCTATTTATAAACTTAGTTTAGTTAGATGTTACTTGTAAGTTGTAACCAAGGTATTTTTTAAGTGATTAATCTTCAATCATCCATTAGTTTTAGTTAATTAATTCGGTTATCAAGATCAAGAAACAGAATGTACCCTTTCTTGATTTTTATTTTCTTAAATTGTTAAATTCAACCTTTCGTTAATGGCAGATTGGCGGGTACAATAAATTATTATTACGGAGTAAATGATTTTTTTTTTTTTGAAAGATTTGTTTGATGTATTTTTATTTATTCCCTAATCGTTAAAGCATTGAAGTGGTAAAAATAGTTTACTCCAAGTTAGCTAAATAAAATTATTGGTGGGTCTAATTAAACACACTTTTTTTCTTCACATAATATTTTTAGTTAGATCCATTATTTATTAGTGGTAGATATATATTATTAGCGGTTAACATCTACTTCCTCCGTTCTTTTTTACTTGACCCGCTTTGACTTTTATACTATTCACTACTCCTCTTTTGACTGTCTTTTGTGAATAATATGTAAGGAAAAACATATTCATGAAAGATATTTTTGAATTCGTCTCAATAAATACTATCATAATATATAACATTTATGATTTTTACTTACGGAGAATTAAAGTTATTGATCGTTAAAGTTTTGTATTGACAAACGTGATAAAAGAAACAGGTCAAGTAAAAAAGAACAGAGGAAGTAGTTATTTTTCTTTTTGGAAATAAAATATCAATAATCACTTATTCCACTAAATTTTTCTTTTTATTTAGGAACCAAAATATCTAAGTATACTTTTCGTCGCATAAAATAGGTACGTTCTAATTTTTGTTACATTAATGTTCTGATTTTATCAAAACATAAGTTTAATTTAACCTAATTGCTTCAAGGACCAATGCGATTAATAGTAAGTTAGACGCTTATTTATTGAATGTGGGTTGAGGCTGCATAAACAGTCAAAGTTAGCCTCAACTAACCAACCCTTAGGACGATTAATAGTAAGACGCTTAATAGTAACTTATAGAGTAATGAGATGAGAGTATTGAAAAGTAAAGAAATTGTAAATGGAAGATACTAATTATAAAGAAACAAAAACAAACTGCATATATAGTCTCAAATTTTATTAAAATCTTACAACTAATACACCAATGTTCACACATCTAAAATTTCTAAATCAAACTTAGGGCCTGTTCTCATTGACTGAACTCAGCTGAACTGAACTGAACTGAATTGAGCTGAACTGAACTGAACTAAATATTTTATAAGAGAAGGAAATTAGGAGCTTTACTGAACTGAACTGAACTGAATTTCAACGTAAGAGAACAGACCCTTATTGACACACTAAGTTTCACTAACATACCTAGATTTGTTCAGAAAATTTCTGTACTAGACTTAAAACCAAATTCTATTTTTGCACTAAACAATCAAACTCATGAGTATAATATTTACTTTTCATTGTGTCTTCCTGTTGCCACGTCCCTCGTCGTGATTACTCCAATCAGAACCTTAGGATGCTTGCTGCAATCAGTCATGCTTCTTCAAAAGAAAGAGCTATGTTACTGTCGTTGATATTACCCTCAGAGTTCGCAGCAGCTGCATTACTATCGTCGATATCACCCTCAGAGTTTGCAGCAGCTGCGTTACTGTTGTTGATATCACCCTCAGAGTTTGCAGCATCTATGTTACTGTCGTCAATATCACCCTCAGAGTTTGCAGCAGCTGTGTTACTGTTGTCGATATCTCCCTCAGAGTTTTCAGCAGCTGCGTTACTGCTGTTGATTACATTACCATCAGCCTCGCGTTTTTGTTCTTCAATGCCAACAACAATCTCGGGAGGTTCACTAATATTATCTTCTCAAGGCTCATCAAGTCGTGGACCTCCTAGTCCTATGTTGGGTATGAAAAATCTCAGTCGTTCCAGAGTATGAGCCATCAACTCGACGTCTGCATTAGTATTAACTTCTGCTGTGATTATATCCATCATAGAAGAAACTGTATCAGTGCTGAGTGAAAATACAAAATCAGTATTCTTAACTTCAGTAGTCCTCAAGGTCACTGCTATCAGTTCTCTGTCTATCCTCTCTCCCTGTAATGTGAATCTCCTGTGTTCTGTAACGAAGTCTGTTGCAGATCGCGGTTGTAATACAGGCTGAGCTCTCGCGGGGCTAGTAGCTGGCATTGGAGGTACTTGTGTATAGCTAGAAGGCGCAATCGTTGGTAACAGAAACGGGTCATTCAGGAGTTGAGTTATTGTAGGCCTGATATCTGCAGGATACACACACTTCTGAATGAAGTTCCTAAGCTGTCTGTCCTGTATTCTGTTTAACAGGCTAAAATCCATTGTACGCAATCTTTCGTCTGTCAACGTCTGTAGTACGCACAACCCAAGACAGTATACCTCAGATCGCGCTATCCTACCAGCATCATGATTCTCTGGACTAGTCAGTACAAGAGTCTTCGCGGCACTCAAATCTCCTAGCTTAATCGTGCCTGATTTACCAACAACAAAGATGTTTTCGCACTTGAGATCATTGTGAATAATCGGTTCATTTTGACTGTGAAGAAAATCGAGCCATGTCAGAATCTGTCGACACCATTTCTTGATTGCAGGACTATTTTCTTCAACCTGATGATTCTGAGTGTAGTCCCTCAAATGGAAAATTCCCAGAATAAAGGTCAGTAATCATGTTAAATTCAACTTTGGTATCTAATTCGATTTTTTTTTCGACCCAAAAATAATGGAAGCATTTGATTATAATATGATGGTTAGAATTCCTCAACAACTCAGCTTTTGTAATCAAAGTATCAAGATTATTAGTTCTTAGAAATTTCTTACACCAAGCAACTTCTCTACCATTAGTGTTTTCATATCCCAAATAAACTTTTTTAAGATCTCCCTCATCAATGCGCTTACTATACCTTGAGTATTGCCCTGTCGGATCTGTCTCCCAAACCGTATAATCGTGTCCTCCTCGTGAGCGCGAAGTTGCCATTACTAAATAACAACAGCAAAACAGAATAGAAGAAAGATTTGGAATGAAATGAAGCTAATTTTTGTTGGGTTATTAGGAGAGAAAACAAAATGTTTCAAATAATGGGTTGATGATGAAATGAATTAGAATGGTAAAGGGTATTTATAATGGTAAGTGTTTGCCTGTTTGGTTGTTACTTATAATCTAGCCATTTTATATATAAACCGATTAATCTTCAATTTATCCATTTGTTGTAGTTAGTTAAGTGGGTTATCAAGATCAAGAATTAGAAATAGCCCTTTCTTGATTTTTTATTAAATTTTTTTTTTTATTATACAAACCTCTATTGAATACAGAGTAATTATTATTATTATAATGTTATATGTAGCTTTAAGGGGTATATATAACCATTAAATATACTCTTGAAAATTGTATAAAATTAAGAATTCATGACAAAAACACGCGTAAATCAATTTTATTAGTGTTTATATATTGATGATTTCTTAACTTTTTACGATTTTCAAGTGTAAATTTAATACTTATATGTGGGCTATGTATAACATTTTCCTTATTTTTTTTTATATTTTAATTAAGAAATATTTCTTATCCTCTTTCTTAAAAGTGATTAGTAGTGCTGTCAAATTTCAAACCGAAACCGTTTAACTGCCCGAAACAAACCGACCCAAATGAGAACTGAATCGATTAAAAACCGGTTTTTTGAAACCGAAAACCGACCCGAACCGTATGTGAATGAACCCGAAACCGAACCAATCCGAATTACATTACACCATATAAGAACTGAACCCGTTAATGAACCGAACCAGTTCTAAACCGAACTGAAATCAAACCGAACCGAAAAAGAATCGAACTGTTTCCAACCCGAAACCGCTTTCAACCCGGAACCATTTGAACCGAGATAAAAACCGTTTACACCGAACCGTTAACAACCCGGAACCCGTTTGCACCGAACTGTATATAAACCGAATCGTTTATTAACCGAACCGCTTGCAAACCGTATTGTTTTATGAACCGGACCACTTATAAACGAATTGGCTACAAACTAGTAAGATCTATGGCTGGCTAAACATGAAATAGAACATGATATGTATATATAAAATTAATGAGAATTTTTATATAACATGATGCCTATTTAAGAAATGATGAAGTCTCGACTTAATATAAAACTTGCTAACCAACAAAAGGTTAGCAAGTACTATCAAATTTCAAACCAAAACCATTTAACTGCCCGAATCCAAACGACTTGATAAACAATCGATTTTTTGAAACCAAAAACCGACTCGAACCGTAATTTAGTAAACTCAAAATGGAATTGATCTAAATAACGTTAAACCGTAGAAGAACTGAACCAATTATAAACTAAACTGAAAAAGAACCGAACTAGTTATAAACTAAATCGAAAAAGAACCGAACTGTTTCTAACCCGAAACCGTTTCCAACCCAAAACTGTTTGAACCGGGATAATAACTGTTTACACCGAACCGTTAACCAACCACGACCCGTCTGCACCGAACCGTTTACTACCCGGACTGTTTAAAACACGAACCGAATTAAAACCGCATAAGAATAAACCAAAACCGAATCAAACCGATAATTATTTAAACCGAACTGAAACCGACCGCGAGACACTTAAATTGATTTCAATACAAACCGACCCGATTTGATACCGAACCGAACCCGAACTGTCAAACCGTTTTGACAATACTAGTGATTAGTGACTTTCCTTAAAAAAAAAGTGATTAGTAACTACTAGTACGGATGTTAGTGGGCTGGCTCAAGTAGGAGACCCGCCCCAGGTGGGCTGGGGATGGGTCTTATTTTGGTGGGTGGTGGGGCGGGGATGGGGAAAAAATAATATTCCTGCCATGGATGATGGGGCGTGGGTGGATTTTACTTTCGGTTCAGGTCAAATTCGGGTCAAGATATGTTAAGTCTAGATAAGGTTCGGGTAAATTATTGGTGAATCATATTCAGTTCGGATAAATTTGGATCAGATTCAAAAAATGTGTTTGACAAGGGGTAATTTTGGGTCAGATGACTTTGGATCGGGTTGATCCTGGTTCGGTTCATTTCGGTTTAATTACAATGGTTAGATTTAATATCGATCAATTTTGATTCAGATACTTATCGTGTTTATTTGAATTTTGATTCAGTTGACCAAATTTAACATTAAAAAAAGCACATATTTAACAGAGGTTTTTCAGTACGGCAGGCCACATGGTGCGGCAGGGGTTACTTATTGGGTGTTACCAGTTTTTTCAGGGGTAACTTGCTTGTTGTTGTTACTTATATTTTGGGTTACTTGTATGGTTATTTGTAGGTTCTGAGTAACCCTAGACCAAACCCCCATACCAAACTAGTAACACCCTACAAGTAACCACTGACCAAAACAAGTAACCCTTTACAAGTAACCCCAGAATACAAGCAACACCCTGAAAAAAACCAGTAATACTCATCAAGTAACCTCAGAATACAAGTAAAACCCTAAAGTAACCATACCGCACCATGTGGCCAGCTGTATACAAAAATTTGTCCATATTTAAAACTAAAGTAATTATTGAGGTTTTTTTTAGGTTTTTTTTTTTCTTCTTAGAAGTCAATATAAAGTCATTCATGTGTCATTTTTCATGTCGTGTCTTTAATATGTGCTTAAGTAAAAAAAAATAATTGGGTTTGAAATTATGTCAAGTCAAAATCAAGTCGAGTTAAAATTAGGTTAGGTTAATATCAGTTTAGATTAAAAAAAAAAAAAAAAAAAAAAAAAAAAAAAAAAAAAAAAAAAAAACCTATCAGATTGAATCGGGTATATGTCGAGTCAATTTTGATTTGGATAGCCTAATTGCTAGTTAAAGAGCCAAAGGGTTCGCCCTGCCCTTCTTTCCTTCTCTGTCAAAGTTGGTCTCAACTAATGCCCTATTAGTTATTACAGATCAGATGACCTCCAATTGAACACATTAATAACTCTGGTAAATGAATTTATAGCCCATGCTTAAGATGCTTAATAGTAAGTTCGATGCTTAATAAGTTATAGAGTAGCAAGATAAGAGGGTTGAAAAGTAAATAGGTTGTAAATGCAAGCAGATATACACTTGTAAAGAAAGAAAAACAAACAGCTTATAGTCTCAAGTTTTATTAAAATCTTATATCTAACACAGTAAGTCAGTAACACACACCAATACTAACACAGTAACACACACCAATATAATGTTGATATATCCAAATCAAACCCTTAAAAATGAAAATGAAAATTAGTCAAAAAGGTGCTTTTAAGTTTAATCTTTCTAGGTGTTGCTCCGTTTAGTAAGGGTTATAAATTGCTTGCTTAGGGGTATTTTAATCTTCCGAGTTTTCAATCGCGATTTATTCGTTAAATGGTCGCCTTTGGAGGATCAAAGATAGGTCGGATGCTCACGTTTGAGGCGTTATAAGTTTTATTGATGGATTAATTTAATTTAATTGTAAAGGTGGTGTGTATTGGTTTGGATTTGATCAGGACAAACCCCGAGGCTTACATACTCAGCTTGGGTGGTTCGATTTTGATTCCGAGGAAATTAGCTTTGTGGATTTGCATGATGCTCTCAAACAAATAGGGCTCATCATTAAAATTAGTTTTGTCCTCGTTGAGTCGTCTATAGCAGTTTTCGGTACGTCTTCGGGTCATACCTGTATATGGGTTTAGGTCGATGAGGATGGTGGTGGTAAATCATGGCGGCTGTGGTATAATGGAGATTCAAGTGTAAAAGCCTTTTGGTTTCTTGCAAGAAGTTTTCGTATTTAATAAACGGAGATTGTATTCTAATAATTATAAAAGTCACCACATACAACTTGTGGAAAATTATAATAATGATGGACCTAGTAGATATTTAGACATTTTTAAGGAGAGTTTAGTACTGCATAAACGATCGTAACCCAAGGTTTTTGACATGATGATTACTGAATCTAGAAGAAGATCGTTAAATTTTCTTCATGTCTTCTTGAAGAAGCTTCATGTATGTGAGTGTTATGTTGCTTGTTCTTCACCTTTACTTTAAATAATGATTCTATGATAAGAAATTGCTGAATGTTTAACATGGTTTAAATCTATTTCACTCATAGTTTTCATACTAATTTTACTTCACCATTTAGTTTGAAGTGTTGCGTTGCGAATCTTCGTCTTTACTTTAAATACTGGTTCAATTCTGTCATACGAAATTGCTGTATTGGTTTAAATCTATTTCACCCTTAGCTTTCATACTAATGTTAGTTCACGGCTTAATGTCAAGTGTTTTGTTGCTTGTTGACACACTAACATACCAAGAAGTGAACACTTTATTTGAGAATCTCTAGTAATGGAAAATTATTATTGCCCGTGCTTAAGAGACTTAATAGTAATTAAGTTATAGAGTAACGAGATGAGAGGATTGAAAAGTACAGAAATTAGATGTGGAAAGACACTAATTACACAGTAAGAAAATCTAATTGCATAGTCTCACATTTTATTAAAATCATAACTAGCACACCAATGTTAATATACTATCTCCGTTAACCGTTATTTGCAACATTTACTAAAATTGGGTGCTAACTATTATATGCAACATTTCCAAATCTTTCCATTTTTAGAAACTTTTTTTTAAATGATATTACAAAAACACCCTTACTTAAAACTTTATAATATCATTTACATATTTAAAACATAATTGATTAAAAACTAATCTAATCTAATAAACTTAATTTATCATTCAATAATCATCCATCTAATAAACATATTTGGTTCGAGAAATGTCAAACCATACTTATTTTTACGTTTTGATTTGGTTTAAGAAATGTCAAACCATACTTATTTTTACGATTTGACTCTAATTAGTCCAATTAACTTGACCCGGCTAGCTCTAGTTGAACACTACTTTAATCAAAGAGTTCTAGTCAACTTACTCTAATTAGTCATACTAGCTTGATCTGCTTAAGCCAACAACCTAGAGTAAGTACCCCCAACAAGATCAATGCTTGCAATTTTTCTATAACCT